AATGAAAGAACAACATATAAGCCCTAAAGGTGGCAAAGGGACAAAATTTGTTCGTTCGTCCGTCCGTCCGTCAAATGTCCGTTTGTCCCAAATCAATTAAAGGACGGACGAGCACCAAATGTTCGTCCTCTGTCCGTCCGTTTGCACCTTTAATAAGCCCTTTATCCATAACTGAGACGGAAAAAAACTTAGAGCAAAAAAGAGACAAATAAAGTTGCGAGCAAAAGTGAAACAACTCAGCATTGAGCGGGGAAGACGTTTTTTGAATTTTCCTCGCTTCTGGAAATAGATAACGATTAGATTTCTTCGGCATTATTGTAGAACATGAAAAGAACTACAAATAAGCCGGAGATACCTAGTCGTATCTCTTTCCAGTAGCGAAGAAAGTGCAAAAAAACGTGTTTTCCGCTCAATGCTGAGTTGAGTCACTCGCCACTTTATTTGTCTCTTTTTTGCTCTAAGTTTTTTTCCGTCTCAGTTATGGATAAAGAGCTCATAAGTTGTTCTTCCATTCTATGGGTGTCAAATGAATGGGTGAGATTGAAAACAAGACATATTCTAACAATATATCGTTATGATACAAAAACGAATGATTTTTTCAAAGTGTAACATCGGCAGAGAATTTTTCGAAGTTAAACACCGCGTGTTACATTTCATTAAAATTTGTTTTCCATGATTCACTTTGAAAAACGTTTGCGCTGGTGTTTCACTTTAAAATAATGTGCATTGATGTTTCGTTTGGTAATACTTGTTCGATGGTGTTTCGGTTCTAGGAATATAATAATAATAATTGTATTGATTAGAGCCATTCCTAGCGGGGGTTCAAGTGGTTCAAAGAACCAGGGCGCACGAGCGTCGAAAGCGCTCGGGTGCGCTTGATGTTTTAAAACTGTCGAATTTACATGAAATAATCGCGAGAGCGCTGTAGGCGCTTGAGCGCCTTTCCCTTAAACTAAAAATGGTTGATGTTTCTGAATAAGGTGTAAAATCGCCGAAGGCGCTCGAACGCTCTTTTTTATACATATTTCTTCTCAGTTTGAAATTCAAGGGCGCCAAAGGGAATTAATAAAGCAATTCTTTATTTTGAAATGATATATTTTCCAACAAAGTGAAGCGCAATGGTAATATATTCAGCAAATCCGAAAGCGTCAGAGTTCAGTTTGCATTGCTTTTGTCCCTACCGAAAGATCACTGACTTGAATCATGAATGACGTTTAAAATGTCATATCTGACAAATGCCATTTCCAACATTTGGGTAAATCTTATGACGAAAGCATTTACTTATACTTCCAAACTATACCGTATAGATGCCGTTAGAGCATTCATTGCTGAATATTTTCCATTTACAGCGCACTTTGTTGATATTTTCTATTTTAAAATAAAGAATTGCTTCTATTCAGCGCCCCTGCCTTTTTTCGGCGCCCTTGAATTCCAAACTGAGAAAAAATATTTACGAAAAAAAGTGCTCGAGTGCCTTCGGCGCTCTCGCCTCCGAATTAAGAACATTAGAAACTCTCAATTTAAGGGGAAAATGCTCGAGCGCTGAAAATGCGAACGCATTTCGAATGAAATTAAATTTGATCATCAAAAACCTCGAGCATCAAGAACAACTGTTACAAACATCCGTATGCAAACTGTGAAATGCTTCTTCTTTTTAACACATACTGTAAGTCGCCATATTGGAAGAAATAATAACAATACACTATAAATATTCAATATGGCCGTTTCCATTGTGCACGATTGTGTTTACGATAGTGTGAAGAAGAAGAAGTAGTAGCATGCGCAAAAAGTGTATTGGTTTTCATACGGATGGTTACAAATGTAGAGGAATTTGAAACAAAAGCTTTCTTGCCAATCATTGAATCCGCAACTGATCACTGATCGTTTTAAAGCACTAAAGTTCATAAATCAAATTGAATTAAAGTCGCCGTGATAAAATGAGCGCTTGCATTCGATCACACACTGGTACATAGCAGGTAGACCCAAATCGAAATACGTTCCAATCGAAGAGAGAGATCAACCGAATTTCGGCGTATAACGCTCTCCCTCTCTCAAATGATGAAAATCAAGTGTATGAAAAGAACAAGACAAACAAAGATGGAAGTAGCGGTTGGACATGCATTGTGAAAAATTGTAATGAGAGAATAACTCAGCATGTAAATGGAAAATGTTATTATTCTGCAACAAAACATGGACATAATCTTGAAGAGAAGTCCGATTATCAACGGACAGTTGATCTGAAGAATGCAATAAAGGAGGATTGCTCCAAAGTGGAAAATATCCCATTTGGTTCAAGTTCCGGCGCTGTACGCGATGTATTTTACTCCAAAGTGATAAGGTAACGTTACCATAATTTTCTCGATGTAATCAAACTTTATATTTGGTGAATATTTATGAATCCGCCATATGCGAAAATTGTCAGACTGAAGAGTTCAGTGGGTTAGTGCTCGGAAGCTAGTAGTATTAGGAGGCATGAAAATTGGCACAGGGTCAGCACTAACTCTAAATTTTCCAAAACTGGTCTCAGTGCATCAAGATTTGTTGTCTGGAATGGAGTCGCCATACAAATTTCTCAAATTTGACAAAAAATCAGTGATCCCGTTCTGCTCCGAGCGCTCTGAGTGAGTCTCGTATTTACTCCTTTGTATTGAGCAGCAGTATCGTATGAGTACATTCTCACTCAATGCCGCAAAGTCATATGGTTGAGTGAGTGAGTTTCCACTCACTCAGAGCGCTCTTATACACAACGCTCAATGTAACACAGTATACTCCTATATACCAATTGCGATGTACATAAGTGAGTTGCTTTGTGTAAAACATTGAGTGAATGATTGAGTGGTTGTGAGTGACTGGTTGAGTTGGTTGTGAGTGAGTAGCTGCTCGCACACAGCTACTACGATGTGAGCGAGGGTTCGCTCTTGAACATTCATGTATGTGCACAACAGCACACGAGCAATGCATTGCTCATTTAAAAGAGTGATGAAATGCTCTGAGTGAGCATTTTTCGATCACTGCAAAAAATCAAGCCACATGTACCTATTCTTTACTTACACTAATCAACGGTGTTTTTGCGCGAGCAAAACGGACCATACTACGTTGTAGAGGACCTTCCCCTGATCTCAAAACCATATTCCGTTCATCTGGGTTACGGTACGACTTGGTGCATTTTGGTTTTATGTAGGTTTTTTCTAAAAATCGACGTTCTCTGTACACATCGGAGGCTGTAACTTTTTTCTTAGACTAGCTAGCACCAAAAATAAAATGGTTCTGAATAGTGGAAGGAAGTACCTTTCAAACGCGCTATAGACCATTAGATTCAGTGCAGTGGTTAGAATTTTTTAAACGATAAATGTGAGGTATGAACGTTGAAACTAGTCGACTTCATCACCTGCCGAATTGAATATACTCAAAATTGCGAATGATTTTTGCCAGTTTCAAATTTTTATCGTAAAGAGCATTGAATTTAGATAAATTTTGCTATAGTCAGATCTATCGTATGACCAATAATAAGAAAGTCAACTTAACCGATTAAGAAATAAAGGTACCTCCCATACAAATTTTGCAATTTCAGAGATGAAATTCGAAACTTTTGTATGGGAGGTACCTCAATTTTCCATCAGATTGACTTCAAATTTAGCTTGGCATCGGTTATTGATGAAAAAATTAGATTCCCAAAGTTTCATAATCACTGGATATTTGGAAAATGGTTATTGGCTTGCATTTAATTTTGATTTTTCTTGATTTTTACCGTTCGTCAACGCCTATGTACAGCTGTGACTTTCTTATTATTGGTCATACGATAGATCTGACTATAGCAAAATTTATCTAAATTCAATGCTCTTTACGATAAAAATTTGAAACTGGCAAAAATCATTCGCAATTTTGAGTATATTCAATTCGGCAGGTGATGAAGTCGACTAGTTTCAACGTTCATACCTCACATTTATCGTTTATAAAATTCTAACCACTGCACTGAATCTAATGGTCTATAGCGCGTTTGAAAGGTACTTCCTTCCACTATTCAGAACCATTTTATTTTTGGTGCTAGCTAGTCTAAGAAAAAAGTTACAGCCTCCGATGTGTACAAAGAACGTCGATTTTTAGAAAAAACCTACATAAAACCAAAATGCACTAAGTCGTACCGTAACCCAGATAAACGGAATATGGTTTTGAGATCAGGAGAGGGGACCCTTCAACGTGGTATGCTCCGTTTTGCTCGCGCAAATCAAAAGTTGAAATTCGTTGATTAGTGTTATATTTAAAATTTGCTTATGAAAAATAATAGTTTTCACCACATTTTTTGGATGTCAAGTGAATTTTGAGTTGGTAAATATGCGAATTCAGTATGTCCAGTATGCAAATCGGAAATTCAGTAGTTCCCTTGGGCTGGAATTCTAAGACATTCCACCAAAATCGTGCGGAATTATTTTTTCGTACGTAAGCCTATAGTGGAGTGAAAGAGAGAGAATCCACTAATTTTCAACCATATAATTCCATGAGTTATCGGCATAATTCGAGTAGAAAGTTGGAAAGTACTTCCGTAAAAAACCGATCGATTTCTGCCCTATGGAAAAAATATTTTCAGAGGTCGCTTTAGTGCTCCGATTCGTGTTTCATTTTAGTAAACATCAACAACTACACAAATTTTACGTTGTTCCCCACACAGAGATACACAAACTCCAATGCAGTGTCCGCATCTGTCTCTCTCTGTATCATCTATAGTGATGCGTAACACAGAAGATAAACGATAGTGCAATATGATCGGTTGTCTCTTTCGCACTTCAATGTGCGTGCGTAATACGGTATAACTGACGCTTGAGTGAAGGATGACCAATACGTATTGAAATGAATAGTTATTTATTTGTATTGCCATTGCTCACAGTGATGTTCACTGCTCACGGTTGTATGAAAAAGGCAACAAGTCATATTGTAGCATCTAACAATTTTCGTACGATGCACCAACACAAATTATTCAGAAAAATGAAACGTGTGTACGAGTGTAAAGTATTTGAAATCTTATAATTGAGAACCAAAACCCAACGGTATGTTGTTGACCAATATACACTCGCAATAGCAGCGATGCAACAGCATTCAGCCACAGTACACACCGGTCGCAACTGTGAAAAGAGTGGGGATTCGTCTGTATATGTGTTGTATAAAGTCTGATTTGTTGTTATGGACATGCGGCGCCTCTTTCGGGATAATTTTGATACCGAAATCGTTTCGGAGGTTCTTTATGGAATCTCTCTCTTTCACTCCACTATAGTCAATATTCAGTATTGGTCAGTATTCTCTTAAAAATGGCCGGAAATTCAGTATGATACTGAAAAAGTCAGTACAGTTGGTAACCCTAACTTAGACTACTTTATATATATTTTTATTCAAAGTTACTTTACCGCAGAAAAATTTCTCAATTTGTTAAATGACAACAGCAGTTCCGTAGCGTATGATAATTCGTCGAATGTTCTTTTTGCAAACATTTCAATGAAATTATGCGATAGATCAAGCGTTGTCATATTTACACAGTTCTCGAATGACTGCGACTCGAATTTCGCAATATGATTATGTGAAATATTTATATGAGTTAAATACAAATCCTTAAAAGACTGCTTTTGAATTTCCACTATTTGGTTCTCCGCCAAATCAATGATCTAAAATGTACAGAGATAAAATTTGAAATATTTTGCATAAATTATTGCTATTATTTACTATAGTAGGTATACCTCAATATAATTCAATGAAGCAAACATTTGGTAATCCACTTTTTTCAACAAATTTCTCGCCAGATCAATGGTTCCAATCCGCGTTATAGCTGAAAATGTTCCCCGTCCAACATCACTAATCAAATTTTCGCTCAAATACAAACGTCTGGAAAATAAAAATTTACATTTTGAGATATCTTATCGGAACGTGTTCATAGATGAAAGAAAATGGAAAATTCGAAGTTAAATGTTGGTTTTTGGAAAAATTATTAGGTTTGTACCAGAGAGTAAAATAAGAAAAAAATAGAACTGCCCAAATATCATCCGTTCACTGTCAAGCTTTGAACAATTGTAGAGCGACGTAGATTTTGTACGGTAAAATTCAGTACTAATTAGTGTGATTTTGTGGTATTTCACAATATTTCGAAATCATTTACGGCTATTTACAGCTCAATCACACCAATTAATACTGAATTTTGCCGCACGAAACCCCCGTCGCCTCACAATTTCACACTTCGTATTCTGTATAAAAATTCAAGTGCATTTGTGCGTCTGTCAAAATCAATAAAATATAGAGATTTTGAAATATTGAAATTGATTATAATTTGGATTTTTGTACTGCACCAATTTTCTGAAATTGGTGTTTTTTGAACTGCTCAAAACCAACTTGAGGAGCCTACTTATAGATCTAGAGTCTCTTGATATACTGAGACTAGTTCTGCAAAATTTAGAGTCAGTGCTGGTAGCATGTAAAATTTGAAGCCATTTTACATCTCTTGTTCTGAGCACTACCTCAATCACAAGTCGAGCAGGACTTCCATAGAAATCTTGATTTTTATTAAAGAATCTGGACAAAATTCGTGCTTTTTGACAGATGTACTAAATTGAACGTTTTCTATGTCGCCATCTGGTTGGTGGCACTAATATCTTATCACACTGTTCTGATGAAGATTTCATTGTTTGTTGATTTTATATAAAATCACTCTTTCATTCATAAACCCAATTTAGATAGAAAAAACCAGGGTTTGAATTTTCTTATCCGCTCGATAGAGCCTCTATAGATTGAATCGAAAGAGTTTTTCAAAAGAGACTCTTTCAAAAGAATCTTTGCAAAAAATTTCAATATTCTGTTAAAAACTACGGCTGTAAACTATATTCAAAAGGTAGGTTTTGATTTATATTTTAATACTATGGAGTGAAAAAACTAAAAAAAATGATTTATTTCTTTTATTGAAATAATTGATTTCATTAAAACGATCATTTTGACAATCGTGTATATACCAAGTATGGCATGAAGTTGCAGCGAATGGTGAAATGTCAAAAATCGGTGCACGACGATTGTCGAAATATGGATCGAACGGGATCAATTATTTCAATAAAATTTAGAATAAATAATTTTTTTTTGTCTTTTTTTCTTCATATAAATCAAAACCAATTATTTGAATATAGTTTACAGCCGTAATTTGTAGCATAATATTGAATTTTTTGCAAAGATTCTTTTGAAAGAGACTCTTTTGAAAAACTCTTTCGATTCAATCTATGGAGGCTCTATCGAGCGGATTGGAAAATTCAAACACTGGAAAAACACAAATAAATTTGGATGCGACATCATTGAACACGACAGTGAGAAAATTGTAATCATCAAGCTTAAAACACGGCACGACCAATTTCAAATGTTGTAACTTTGTTTTGAGAAAATGTATTTGAAAAATTCATTGTATTTTTCTGTCTTTCGGTCTCTACTAAATTGTAAATTTTTAACTACCAACAGGGACTTGTGAGATTAGACGTAAAACTTTTCTTCAATATATCACTTCTTTGATATATTGATTGATGACTTTTGCAGTCATTAAGGCCGCAACTACAATGTTAACGCTTCCACTGGCTTTTCATTTTGAATATTTAGGTTAGGCTTTTTCGAACCGTTCACATCTCGGCTTCCTACTCATTTCCATGTGTTGGTTAGGTTATTTTGTGTTAAAATATTTATAGACCAAATACTTATTCCAATCAAGAAAGACTACTACTATAATTATCACACACTAAATTGTATGTACTATCAAATATTAAAGTTTCCGACCATTTGACAGTTGTTGGCATCCCTGCGATTGTTTCAATACATTTATGTTCATTGGGACTCACTCACTAAATTGCTGCATAGGATATTCACTGACAAATCAGTAGCAGCCGAGTTTCGACTCTGAGAAGCGATACCTGCGCTTCTATATGTATTAATACGTTAGCACTGGCAATCAAACGTCGTTCTGTTTCTGCGTCTCACTTTCTTAAATGCGTAATTGCTTAAACACTTCAGCCGCACATTCTTTTTTCATATTCTTGTTCTCTATTTACGCCCTTCGTTCGTTCTTCTCAACTGTGTTTGTATCAACACACACACACACTCCGAGTGAATTGCGCACTGGCTTTGACGAACGATTCGCCTGCACACATCTGAATGTCGCATTGAAAGAACTACACACAAACACAGCAGTGACGATGCTGTTATTGAGATGAATTGTTTCACTTGTGTGAGAATGTTTGACGCGTTTGTTGTCATAAACCAATGATTGCAAGAATTGAAACATGGGAAAATATCATTTAATGTGTAACATTTTATTTCAGACAAATTGATTTTGGACGATTCATTTTGAAAAATGTTTGCAACGACTTTGAGTTTAGTCATAATATTTTGGTTGTGATTTGCTTACTCTTTCGCCCAGCTGACAGTTCATACGCGCGAATTACGCTTGTTTGTGAGTATGCGTGACACATCAATAGAAAGACGAGCAAGCGAATTTCGACTGTGAGGAGGATTTGATACAAAACGCTGTTCTCTTCACGTCTCACTTTCTTAAATGCATTCAGTAGCACATTGATGTTCTTGCTCTCTTTTGCCTTTCGTCTGACGGTGTGCGGTGTGCGTGTATTGTTTCAACAAACAAATTCACCGTCTATGCACACAATCGACGCGCGATGCTAAAAGCGAGGCGTGCATGTGTATGTGTTTAAACAGGCCACAATGTGTCGTTGAATGTTATGTGTTTATTATAAACGTTTTTTGGTTGGCAGAACCATGCTTGTTTTTCAGCATTTATTATAAACGTCAAAGAGTCGGATACTTTATTCATCGTTTGTACAAACACGAAAAGATCAGGTTTTTCACGACTCTTGGAGTCGTTTTCCTGCAAACAAAGTATTCAGCCAGTTTTTGGCGGTGTAAATAAAATAAAAATAAATAAAATAAAAAGCCGAATAATATCTGAAAAAACACTAGTATAAAACAAACACTAAAAATCAAACATTTTTTTTCTCTCTTTTGACATTAACTACCACATTTTCAATAAAGTGTGATATTTTTTCACACAACTCATAATTATAATATTACAAACACGTGTTTACTATATCAAATAAAAAACTTATTTTGAAGTCATTCCTCGTGAAGAAAGCGAACACAAAACCAGTGATATCAATTTTTATCAATTTTAGAAAAACATTACGGAGCGATTCAGAACCAGTTGAAAGAATGCAAAAAAGCAACTCCAAATCGCTCCAAAATGATTTTCTAAAATTGATATCACTGGTTTTGTGTTCGCTTTCTTCACGAGGAATGACTTCTAAAGTTTTTTTTGTTATAGTACTCTACAATAAAATAACAAGAAGTTTGTTCTTTCACATAAGGTACGGTGGGGCAATTCGCCGCGTGGGGCAAATCGCCGCATCGGCCTTTTCTCGACAACGGCAATACATATACAAAAAGTGCTAGTGTCATTTTAAAGAGCAATTAATTCCCGATATTTGGATATATAATTCGATATTTTCCATTTGAGTGCAGGCTCTGTACAGGCACAAACATGTTTTGCACTAGTGCTGAGTTAATTTTTTAAGTCAACAGAATCCTAGTTTTGACTATTTAAATTTTTTTTCTTTTAAACAGCTAGGTCTATTTTGTAGCTGAACACTTGCGCTTTCAAATGGAACGAAACATGTTTTGGAATTTTTCAATATTTGTGGTTAAATCAAGCTGAACAGAAATAGTGACGGTGGGCAAATAGCCGCACCTCATTTTTGCATTTTATCGCTAATTGGTCACTCAGAACTCATATGTGGTAATGTAAATGGACTTTATACCGGTCAATCAAAAGTTTCAGATCTAAAAAATATTTTTTTTTGACGGAGTTATGTCCAAAACTGTGATGTGCTTCATCCGAGTCTGCGTTCGCATTTCTCGTGCGCGGCATAACTCAAACAATTGACAAAATAATTAACCTTCAAACCGTGAAATGGGCACTGCATGCCCAAAACCAACTTTGAATGCTTATATATTAATTATTTCTTATCATAAATTAATAAAATAACTATGGTTGAAAATTTGGCTACAAAAATTGCGTTAACATACCCACATACGCGCACTAGCTTACACATATGCGCGTAAACATGTGTGATGCGCTATACGTGAAATGGGTGCCTTTGTATGGGCATTTTTGGACAAATTACGTATAAGAATTAAGGTGGGAACTATGAAATATACATCATTGGAAAGATCTTGAAAAGTACATGTAATTTGAGTTATAAAACATCAAAATCGATCATCATTTTATCAAAATATGGCCATTTTATCAATTTTGGCCAAAAAAAATCCAACGGCCAAATATTGGCCAAATGCCTGCCTTTTTTGAAGTTTCATACCAAAACTAAAATACCGAGATAAATATATTTTAGTTTGCTTGGTACTTGTCCGGCCCTGGTGCCAAATGAAAAAAAAAACATTCGTCGAACTGTGAAATTCATAGAAGATATGGGACAAGTTTTCTATTCAAATATTAATATAATAGCTCGGTAACGCTCAGTAGGGTATATCACGGTCCAATACTGTACGTTTAACACGATTTCGTGCAGTAATCCATCGCCCAGAGTCGACCACAGCCATACGGTTTGCAAATTTTAGTACTTTTTAGTACATTTTTAGAACTCTTTAAGCACTTTTAGTAGTTTACATGCAAAGCTCTTGAGGAGTACTAAAAAGTTGCTTCAGGCAATATGCTCTGTTTCGAGTAGTTGCGAAATTACAGGACTTCGAAACTTTTTCAAAAAAATTACAAAAAGTCGAAAAAAATTGATGTTAAACTTCTTTTTAGGCCCTAATATGTTCCATTCGATTGAAATTTTCCAAAAAAAAATAAAGATGAGTCGAAAAAAAACATTCAATCAAATTTTTCCGAAAAAACTCAAAAAAATCCAAAAAAAATCGATGAAACCATTGCGGTTTTTGATGCAAATCGTCATTATTTTTAAGGCGAGTATGTTTGTCCAAATTGGTGAACTAATCATTTGTACATTTGGCGGCTTCCAATACTTCAATTGAACGAATTGGTTTTTGAAAAAATAGAGTATGCTTGCATAAATGGTTCAAAATATTAAGTTCTCTGGACGAAGAATAACAGGGGTGCATAGGTGTTAATTTTTGTAATAATTATTCGTTTTTTTATTCACTTATTACTTTTGTCATATTTATTCATTTATTCGTTATTCGTTCTTATTCGCGAATAAGAACGAATAATTATTCATTTATTCGTGAATAAGTTGTAATAGTTATTACTTCTTACAACTTCTTTCTCAATTTTCATTCGTTTTCTTATTCGTTTCTTATTCACTTCTTATTCACTTCTTATTCGTTTCATATATTATTCAATTTTTATTACATTTCTTATTCGTTTCTTGCATGAATAAATGAATAATTATTCGTTCTTATTCGCGAGTAAGAACGAATAACGAATAAATGAATAATCACATAAAATGAATAAGTAATAAAATCTTTTATTACTTATTATTTATTCGTTACACCTATGCAGGGGTGCATAAGTCTCAGCACGTAAACGAGCTCCGCTTATTATACGGCATTAGCATGAACGAACAGCATTAGAATGAATGTACTTGTACATGAGTGAAATGACAACATCACTGAAACCGTAGCGCATGGAAAATAACACAGAAGAAATGCGACAACAAACAAACATCGTAAAATAACAACGCATCAGAGAGAGTGGGAGCATCTGTGCTGTTCGCACAACAGCAAATATTCATAGCACGCTAGTACCGTGTCAGTGGAGACTACCAATACCAACGCAAATTAGAACAATTTCCCCCGGGGAAAAATATAAACCCAAATTGCGGGCTTGGGGGTGGCTATACCCTCCCAGACCAGTTTGTATCTTAATGTATTTTGACGAGATCTATCGAGTGGAGCTTCTACCGATGTCAATTGACCCATTTCCGGGGTAAATTTTTTGATTTGCAGGTCCTCAAAAAATGGTCTGTGGAGGGTCAGAGGGCAATATGGGTGGGTCCAATCGATAGATCTCATCAAAATACTTTGACAAAACCCCCCATATTTGGGGGGTAAAACCCATCCCTAAGCCCGAAAATCTTTGGATCATTGAAATCCATTTGTTGGGCTTGGGGATGGGTTTGACCCCCCAAATGGGTACAGGTGGGCGAATTCGCGAGTATATACTCTCATACTCACTCATTTTGAAAATGAGTATGTCTCGACATACTCTCATACTCATAGATACTCTTTGAGTATGAGAGTATATACTCAGAGTATATACTCTTTGATTTTGAGTATGTCTCGACCTACTCATTTTTTACCCAAAGAGTAACTCTACACCTACTCTTTTTCCTACT